TCCTCAAACTTGTCCTTCGCACTACACCATGAGAAATCGGCCCAAAAGGCATTCGCCGTTTTACGGATGATCCGACGTACCTTCTCCGTTATTACTCGCATGGACTTCCAAGTACTCTATGGGGCCTACGTCAGACCGCTCCTGGAGTACGCCAACCAAGTTGTCTACTAGGACGTACGTCGATCCTGTGTATCAATCCGTGAAAAAAAAGAACTGTGTTCTAGGTCATCTTGTGATAGAACTTGTTAATAGCGACCGCAATCGCTTGCGTTGGTGGTTCCGCGGGGTTTGCGAACTGAGGCGTCCCAGCTGATCGAAATGGAGTCGGACAACAGAAGAGCCAGGAAGTCAGCGCCAGTAAAGAATGCAGTCTTTCTAGGGGCCTTGCATAAAGACAGAGCCAGGGTTTATGCACTACGTGAATCAAAGTAGGTGTTCACTACTTGTCATTTAATATCCTTAGCGTTGCCGCAAAGGATGGAAGTTCGGGCACATCAACTGTGAAACAGGAGATGAAATCCAACCTAGAAAGTTCTGCACATGTGAGCGAGAGTCGCTCCCGTCGCGCAACACTCCCTAATTTTGGGAAAAAGTCAATGCGAATGTCTACTCCTGTCAGAGACTGTGGATCTTCCCCTAGGTACCGTACCAGACATCGTTCTCGACAGGAAACCACATCTGAGCACGACCGGTCTCACAGTATAGCGTCTTCGGTAGCAATTATTTTAGCAATTACTTGATTTTGTAGATTGGAAGCAAACGCCGTTTTCATCCGGATTACGACCCATTTATCGAGATTCGCCGAGCGAAAGAAAGATTGGAGCGCTACCGAAACAAAGACGATTGGAGTGCTGACATGCTTCTGAGTGACGACGCTGACGAGGATCTCCATCGTTATGAAGAAAAGTTGAAACGTCGTCTACGTGAGCGGGTAAGTTACAATTATCCAGGCAAAGCTGTAGGGTTAACTACCAACCTTGTTGCGGCAATAGACGACCCACTGAGTCCCCGAACTGTAGTTACTAAGTCAAAAGATTCTGGTCTCTTTGCGGGTGGGAACTTAAACCGTAAAGGCTCATTTCCGTGGGTAATTTTATTTCGTTATTCCTGGTATTCATATTTGTTTTTCAGTTCCCATGTAGAATGCTTGATTGTTTTGTGGCAAGGTGATTCCTTAATGTATCGTGGTTTCCTAGACGAAATGACCCTTTTGCCTCAGACGCTCTCTTGGATCGTCAGAAGCCGGAACTGTGACCTGCATGCGTTTTTCATCAAACCAATAAGGAAATGGCAAATTGGCTATTCTCACTTTTTCTCCCGTGCACTTTTGTTGTGTAGTAGACGGACGTGAAAATGTTTTAAGCACTGTGGCAATGAAATTTCATTTATGCCAGATTCCGTGCAATCTCAAATGTCTGTGATTCACGCAATTTGGTCAACTTATAAGATGCTCCGAAGCTCTAATCAGTTCACTGCTGAACAACCTATGTTTACCTTTTCCTGAAGGAAACTACTTATAAGGTTGCTGAGAACTCTTCGACAGATCACGACCGGCTGTGCCCTCCCAGGTGTTCATCAAGTAGGCGCAATTCCCGAGTTTCTGCCAGCATGTTGAACCCAAATTGTACGAGATTCGCGAACTACTCGCGTTTGAGTGCTTATTCGTTTTTCACTTGGTACTCAACTGAACCCCACCTGAATTTCATCTTTTATGATGTTCTTCAACAGAATGTGCCGCATATAGGTTGCCTCATGTTTCACTTGCTGCGCTACTTGGGAAACCGCCCGAAAAGTTATGAAATCGGTCGAGGATTTTTCAGTAACTCTTCCTTCAAAGAGATATAATACGATATATTGAATATCGTACCAATTGAAGCACGAACTGCCGCGCATACAGTGCATTCATTTGAAGAGTATCACAGACGAATAATTCAGCCGTGACTCGGTTAGGTCTAGTTGGTTTCTCTTTTATCCGAATACCACCAGCAGTCATTAGCAGTCATTTATCATAAACACGAGCTCGATGTGTCTCACTTCTTAAGGCTCCAATTAACTGATCCGTGGTTTGAATCCAATCTTGGCATCTGCGCTACTATCCAGGCTTGGGCAGGCTGGCAGCATCCTGGCCCTCGTGCTTCCTCCAGGTAGCATGACACCTGGGTGCCGAAATGGCGCTACAGCCCAACAACAAATACGTGCCCATATACAGCAACGCTAACAATGGTAATTATAGGGAGCCAGAAAATAATTGTTGCTTTATCCTACCCCATGTGGTGTCACCTTTGATTGGTGCATCAACTGTGAAAGATGGCGAGATGACTCAGAGGTTAGAGCGCGAATTTACTGACCGAAAGATCCATGGTTTGAACCTGACATCTATCTCTCGACTTCTCCCGTCTAAACTTGAGCAAACTGGCAGTATCCCAGCTCTCGTGCTTCGTTTGGCAGGTATGGCAGCTAGGCACCGAAAAACTGCCACGGCTGAACGATTTTTGTGAAGGATTCAAGCCTTTAGTGCTGTTTTGTTCAAAGCTCGGATCCAATCAGCTCTCGTCATGAAGGCTATTACTCTAATTGCTTAGTGCTTATTACCTAATCTTGAAGTGATGGTCAATTAAAATGGATAACTCAGTGGATGATGCATTAGCTTACGAGCTGCAAGCTCCGTGGTTCGAACCGAAACTCAGCATCTCGACTGCTCCCGTCTAGGCTTGGGTAGCCTGACAGTATCCCAGCCCTCGTACCTCCTTCAGTTAGCACAGCAGCTAGGCATTGAAAAGGTGCTACAATTGAACGATGTTTTATTTCAACTAAAAAAATCTGATATCTCAGTGCAAAAAAATTTCACACCTTCAAAATAGTTTCCTTGACGGAATGTTTCCTTCCGCGGATCATCTCGGTAAGTAGAATACCGTGCATGCAAACCACTTTTTCGGTAGTGTCTGACCATTAAACAGGATGAAAGTGTTCCTTGTTGACTCGAATGGCCTTGCATTAGTCATTGCTTTCGAGCCACATCAATTAAAAATTAGATCTGTTGGCAAATACTTGCCATGTGGGAATTATTTTCATTGATACGAAGGGGTATGTTGCATGATTGAGCGTGTCATCTCTAGGTGTACTACCTTCTCTCCGAGAAGAGAGGCTCCTAGCAAATGGGGTTTAGGGTGCTGAAATGTGATCAGTTGGCCTTTTGATTAAAGCACTTTTGCATTGCAATCAGGATATTGTTGCACGTGGTTGTTGTTGGATTCGTCTATATCAATTTGACGCTTGTTCTCCTGTAACATTAATTCAGAATGGGCATGTCTGCCTTCGCAACACTATTGTGCCCTTAGCTACCTGTTTAACACCGTCTTTGGTGCAATTTTCAGCTCAAGTTGAGTTGAAAGACTGTTGGGGTGATGGTGGACATACTGAATCAGTGGATATGACAACCGAACCCGAGATGACTCAATGGTTAAATCGCAAACTTACCGGAATATCCCTGGTTCGAACCCAAACTCAGCATCTCAAACTGCTCCTTTATAGACTTTGTAACCTGGCAACACCCCAGCCCTAGTGCCTCCCGTTGACGTAGGGGCTAGGGATCGAGGAAAGAGGCATCTGAGTGATCTCTCTCTCTCTGATGAAAAACAATGTCTTTCTAGGTAGTGCTTAAATGTGTCCCAACCAACTTGGTCTGACACATTTTACTTGCTGCCCCGGCAATCCAGCCCGGGTGCCGATTGTCCGCCGACGCACCACTTTGTTATGTACATGTTACAATGGGCTAACTGCCACTACGCCACGAAAGCGCTGATTATCACCAAGGTCTGGATCTGCAAAGTAAGCCTGCTGTTACAACAGACTCATGCACGATCCTCCAGTTTCATCAGGATTACTTTTGGGGCTACGAACGGCAATCTGGGGAGTATTGTTTCGGTTTACGAATGTGCGCACTGGCATCATCTGTCACGAAACAGTCGTGGCTTATGTAGCAGCCAAGATGCGCCACTTGGTCAACAATCTCATGTTGAAATGGGACCAGTTCCGACGTTCAAGGTAGGGTAGGTTGCAAGAGCTAATGATCGACAACTAGTAGAACAATGTCATCTTCATGGTCCTAGTCCACCATACATCTCCCAGGTGTCACTTCGATCTTCAGATTTTTATAGTACATTCCAGAACAAAACTGAATGGTAAAGAAGAAAAAGGATAGGTCTGGTAAATCCAGCTCGTCGTGAAAAGGCTTTGAACAATCCATTGTGAACTCTTACACGACCAGAAATGTACCTACGGCTTTCATGAGCACTCCTCTTTGCGCAACTATGTGATGGCTTACCTTTTCGTGATCAAAAGCCACTTCGATTTCAAGGGAATCAGCTATTGATGGTTAACGGCATGCGTCTTGCAACCCGGGCCTTTGACTTAATGCAAATTTATGATCAACGCGCTGCATGCTTCTTGAAATCCGACCCAATGCCCTTGAATTGGCCCCTCATGCATCAAATTTAGGCTCTACAGTTTTAGGGGGCTAGTATGACAGGTGTATGACCTATAACCCTATGGTCGGAACGGACGCTTCCACATTTTTCGATTGGGACACGATGATGGTTCTGCAGAACCTATTGTTGCTTCCAAACAAACAAGGCAGACCATAGACTATTGTCGGCTGATGTTGGTGCATGCTCATCTCGCCAGGCGATCCAATGACGTTCCAAGGCGGAAATTAATAATATCACTCCATACGCTGAGAGGCCGATCTGAACTGACGGGTGATGGTCCAGTTCGAGCGGGCCAAGTTAAAGACATAAGTTCGGGAGCAGTTGTTGTTGTCCAGCCATCTGAATCGACTTTTGACACACTATGGTTCCAATATAATATTTGACTAACTCAATAACACTATCTCCTGGTTCCGTTCATTCCTGATTGCATTCTGCTCCTCGATTTCCTGAACCCTATGGTTCAATCACGCTTCTTTCCATACAGAAGCCTTCTTTGAGCTGATGTCTATGACCATGTAACCGGAGTATACTTACCCCGATGAGATACGATGCTTTGAGGGACGTCCAATCCAGTGGCTTCTGTGTATGCGCCCAGAAAAAAGACATTTGCGGCTCCGTGCATAGCTGTGGTCATCTCTTCCCTGTTACGATCCTTTTCCTCCAAACAGCGTCGAGTAGTATACTTCGGTATGTTGCTTTATTTTTACGTTAGGATCGTGTTTCGGAAGTTTGCTGGACGGTCCCATTCAGCTTGTGTGTTTCAAACTGATCAGCACTCAAGAACTGGACTCGCTATCGGAAGCAGGTTGTGATATGATCAATTTCGATTCGTGGCTGCTCATAAGTGGTGACTGGACAGAACAATGGTGCCCCCTAAGTTACGAAAGCTGCATTACATTCTGCACCATAAAGCAACGCCTGGTTTCTATCATAACTCTTCATTATGGCTAGTGGTAGATTGTATCTGCTTCGGACCCTCAACTATTTGATGCATGAGTGGACATCATGTATAAGAGGTGGCTGGTATTTTGACCGGTGGAACTGCAGTGGACCGTCGAATGGCCCAGAGTAGGCTATTTACAGACATCCAGTCGATCAAGGTAGGTGTCGCTTGTGAGTGCTCTGTCAAAACCACCTAAACGCCCTGCTGTAGCTCAAAATCACATGTAGTCCTTACGGGCCATGACATGATACGAATATAGACAGCGTCTTAACAGTGAGGACGTTGTCGCAGTCGCCTTGTCCAGCCCTCTTAATCGAGTCTCGGAAAGGCGGCAAATGTAAATCAGCAGATTATCTGAAATACGTTCAAAAGCACCTTAACCTAATTGCCCAAAAGTTCTCAAAATAAAGGCTACAGTAAAGACCAGAGAACTGGTCTGAATGCTCAGTGACTAAGACTTGATGCCACTGACCGGAAGGTCCTGGTTCTAATCCATCCTTG